GATAGAAACCTTCTTCTAACTATAAATATTCAGCTTTTGGTACTTGGTAATGGAGTTTCTTTAAATGGCTTGTAGAATGCAGTGTCTGTTTCTAGCATTCATATTTTGAAGGTATAAGAACTGGGATACCACTGAGTTTTTTATTTGATTTTTTTTTAATTCTTGCCTTTGGAAGTATGTAGTCCAGGCTGGTTTCAAAGTTCTCATTCTTTTGCTTCAGCTTCTCAAGTGCTGAGATTATAGGTACCTGCCATCACACCCCCCTTCAGAGGGCTTTGTATCGCTAAGGTTCTTTTTCTGTAGCCTTTCTTCTGCCCTAATCCCTCAAGAAGTGGCATATAAAAGGTGAAGGGGGAAAAGAGTTGAGCTTAGTCTAATGGCTTTGTGGCTTGTTTTTATTTTTAATACAGTCAGGAGTGAGGTAAGTCAGAAACTAGAACGACATGCTCTCTCTCCACAATGTGAGAATTTATTTAATAACAAACTCACAAGTTACTTCAGCTTTGTTAATTCGTACTGAGGTCATTTGTGAGCCTTGGTTTTTGGCAACACCGGTTCATTACAATCTTAATTACTAATATGGATTCCCAGATTACACATTACACTTAACACAATAATGTCTGCAGGCTTTCTCATTTGGCATGCCTTCTGGCCACTTCAAATTGGGGGCGGGGGTTGGTCTCACAATGTTCCTCTTGATCATCTTTCTGGTCAGTGAGGAAAATTCTGAAGTAGCTCATCTTTCTCCAAGGTGTGTGACTCAGCCACCACTAGTCATAAGCTTTATCTTAAAGCTGCAAAATCATTTGCTACAGTGAGTCATAGCATCCTGGAAGTGGTTTACAAGCTACTGCCCAAGAGTCAAATCTGGCCATCTTTTGTTTTGGTACACCTGGAAGTTAATAATGACATTTATTCCTCAAATGGTTTGAAAAAAATATGGAAATTATGTGAGATCCAACTTTGTGTCCATAAATGAAGTGGTCCTGGATGATAGCCAGAGCCACACCATTCATTTATCAAAGGTCTTTGGATACTGTGGGCTGGAGTTGAGCAGTTGCTACTGAAAAGATGAGACCAAAAATGTTTCCTTCTCCAGATACAAAGTTTCTGCCCCCTGCTGGAGAAGAGAGGCTGGAGCCAGAGGGCCTAGCTGAGGTAGCTTAGCTCTGAGTCTTCTACTGGGATGTCTTCCCTCCTCTGTCCCTCACTTGCATAACAGCACCTATCCCATGGGGTTTTTATGAGGATAAAGCAAATATTAAAATGTTTGAGAGTAGATATACTAATATACATAAATTTGTCATTACTACTGCCCACATTTTATTTTTTTGTTGTTGTTGTTTTTGTAGTTTTTTTTCTTTTTTTTATTTTATTTGTGAACATACTGTACAGAGGGTTACAATTACATGGGCAGGATAATGCGTACATTTCTTACCAAGCATTGCAGCCTCCTCCTTTGTTTACCCTTCACATCCCTTCCCAGCCTCCCC